CAAAAACTCAAGACTTCTCAGACCAGGAAATGTTTTTCTGTTGTCCAGTTTTCGGGGATCTTATGTGAATTTGAAGCCCCAGTTTCCTGTTCTTTGCTCACTGTGGTCTTCTGCTGATGCAGCCCATCGTTTTTAAGTTTATCCTGAGTTTAAACTTCTTGTCTTGACTATGACCCTATACTTAAATGCATTAAGTTGCTGCCCTATGATTGGCTAATTGATTTTTGTGTTAACAAGTAGTTGAACAATAATAAAGGTGTCAGTAAGTGTAATCTTTCCTTAAACTGGAAAAACGTCTAAACTTCTAATTTTAGAGAAGTCAGTGAGTATTTCTCTGATTTACACTTATGTTCTCAAATAGTTATTTTTTCTGAAAGCGTATTTAAGTAAAATCAGCTCTGCATGGCACCAAAGCAGAAACAAAACTGATTCAGAGCAGCGAATTTTATATATGAGTGCTGTTACATGATCCGAATCCACCTCTGCAGCAGTGAAACAGCAGCACAAATTTTAAAGTCATTATTTTCAGTATCACCGCCTCCAACAAAAGAAAGTCTCTGGCTTAATACGGGAAGTATGGAAACAAAGACGACTCCCTACAGACCGAAAATAAGCACTCGTGAGACAAAACAAAAGCAAATCATTCCACTTCAAAGCAGACTTTTGCTTTGTGCTACCTGCTCCCGGGCCGCCTGCAGCTGACCTTCCAGCTTTGCTTTGTCCTGGTGCAGTTGTTGGAGCTCCTTCTCCATTGCATCTTTCAGTTCAGTTGGCTCCAAGTTGAAGTGGGCTTCTGGAGGTCCGGGATCAAGACCATTCTCTGGTTTGGCCAAGATCTGCTCCCTCTGAAGCCTAAAGACCATCATGTAGGAGCAAACCAGGTATTATTACACCGCTGATGGCAGAGCTTGAGTTCAGCCCCACCCACAGACTTCAAACAAATATCGGACATTGCCGGGTTGGAATAACTTTGCAACAAAACGATCCAAAGTAGTCGTGTTATATTATGCTCTATATGCAAGATTTAGCATGTCCTACATGCCGTCTCTAATTATGGGAATGTTTTCATACACACTCCAATAAATTTTAGTAAATGGATCAGACCATTGTTAAACTGCAGCTCATAAACAATCACGTCTAAACAAGGAGGAATGAAACAAAGAAAGCGTCACCTGTATGCAATCAGGAGGGCATGATGAGTTTGGGTGATCCTCTGTAGTCTCTTCTTATACGAGCGAGCAGCGGTGGCGAGCTGCTCCTCCCTTGCCCTGTAGGATAAACGAACATCCTGCAGCATGCTGTCGATGAATCCTCTCATCTTACTCGGTTCTGACGGCCTTTTACTTTCTTCAAGCCCATCGGTGTAGTCCTGGATTACACAGAGCAGAGGTCTTATCAATACTGCCACGTCTTACTATCAAACCTGCTTTGTGTGTGCCGTTACTCACAGCTATGTCCTGTAAGTAGCACACGAGCCTTGTGCGATATTCCTCAATCAGCTCTTTCACCTGCAGCTGCAGCTTGGAGTTCTCCTCTTCTGCCTCCTTTAATTGTCTCTGAGAGCACATCAGGGCCTTCAAAGGAAACAGCACATACAGAACATGATTACCCCCCACCTATAAAGTTTAAAGTTTAAACAGAGCAAGGGATGGATATACAAAATTATCACAGCATTACAAATCAGCATACAAACAGTGGTAATAACTAGGAATGCTCACCGCACTCTGCTCAGAGACTTTCTGCTGGCTAACATGCATCGCTCTGTGGATCTGCTGGTGCTCTTTACCCATCGCCACCCTGGTGACCAAACGCAGGCCACGACCACAAGAGAGCAAAAATCCACAGAGAAGAAGCAAAGAGACCACATCACACATGCACAGAGCAAGTAAAGCCACAGCTTAGCAGAAAAAAATCAAAGAGGCAACCACAAAGCAGATGCATGTGGGGCAAACACTGGGACGCACTACATCCTGACTGGAAATGCAAAGATAATGATCTTTTATTTTCATTGAGCTTTTGCACAAGTAAATGACAAACACTCGCACACTTTCTCCTCCAGTTTCTTCTGCTGCTCCTTGTAGCTGCTCTTCATTTCCTCCAGCTTGTCTTTGATCTCATCTTGGTTTTCAAGGAGCTACGTGAGGGAGATGAATGAAAAGGCTGAGTGAGGCAGTCTGAGACTTATAAACTTCGACGGTTACTATTTTGAAACTTAAGGACTCACAGTTTTCTGCATGCTTTTTTGCTCCTTGTCCATCTCTGCTTGTTCCTCGGGCTGTCAATACAACATACAAGCATTTCAAATGAACAACATAGCAAAACATGAGAATCTGTATTCTAATTCTAACAACTTAAAGTAAAGAAATGCATGTTCTCCTTATGGTGGAGCTCGATATTTACTGCCTCACCTTGACTGTGTCATGTGACATGCGGGTGATCAAAGCCCGCACCCTGTCTAGCTCCCCATGAAGACCTTCGGTGCTGGTCTTCACACATTGATGCTGCTCCTCCAACTGCCTGCGGAGGGCGTCCTGGGCCTGGGCCAGCACTAGCAGCTCTGCTGTGAGCGCTCCGCTCTTGGCTCGTTCTTTATCGTGGACCTCAGCCAGAATCTGGTAGTTCTTCTTTAATGTGGCATATTCCTCAGTCAAGTCCTGGCCACTAGTCTCTTTCCCTTTCAGGCATGTCTCAGTGGACTGCAGTTCCCTGAGCAACCTGTCTCGCTCTATTTCCAGCTCTGTTATCACACCTTCTTGGTTAAGTACCTAACCAGAGTGAGAAGGAAAAAGGGTGTAGAAAAAGTGATTCAGGATGATCCTGCCAGCAGTCTTGTTGTGGAAGGATTTGTAGAAAAACCCTCACCTTGGTTTTCAGCTCAAATGTCTCTTCTTCATACTGTTCTCTTATCTTATTAGCCTTAATTTTCTCCTCTACAAGCTCCTTATAGATCTAAACAGACATTGGGAGAGAAAATAAAAATGTTAGTTCTGTAGTATACACTCACAATTAAATTATGATTCATGTTTGTTTAACACACCTTCAGTCTTTCCTCTTCACTCTGGACCAGCCTGCAGGACAGGTCTGTGTTGGAGCTGGCCAGGTGGCTCAGTCTGGTCTCCAGGTAGCCCACTTTGGTGAGGGCACGCTCGTATTTGCCACGCCACTGCAACTATACATGCACACATTTTATACAGAGGGGGAAATAATTATTTGATCCCCTGATAAATGTGTAAGTTTGCTCACTTCTAAAGAAATGAACTGTCTCTATTTCTATGGCAGTTTGATTGTAATGGAGGGAGACAGAATATCAACCAAAAAATCCAGAAAAAATAAAAGTTCTAAAGTGATTCTCTTTTGACTGAGTGAATTAAGCTTTTGATCCCCAAACAAAATATGACTTAGTACTTGTTGGCCAGCACAGCAGTCAGACAGTGGCATAGTTCATAATTTCGTAATTTCACATCTCAGGAGGGTGAAATGTGTGCAAGTTAGGATGTGCTTCGCAGAAAAACAGCGCCAAATTACAATGCCTCCACCTCTCTGTGCTCGACTGTGGGGACGGTGTCCTTTAAGTTATACTCAGCATTGCTCTGTCTCCAAACATGACGGGTCAATTTTGGTTTCATCTGACCACACAGCTTTTCTGCCAAGACTTCTCTGAATCATTTAGGGCAAACAGATCAGTTTGCCTACACATGTGCATAGGGGGGCCTTACAAGATCCCACAAGCAGTTGTCACCTTCACACCAAGCTTCTTTGCTGATGGTCTTGTAGATCATCCCAGCCTTGTGCAGGTGTAAAATCCTGTCCCTGACGTTCTTTGGAAAGGTTAGAATTCTGTGGACAGGTGTGCTCTATAAATATAACAGTTACGATCAGGAGTATCATTAATTGATCAATTGATTGGTTGGCTGTGCACCACATGGGCACACAGTCAGTTGTGGCTGGGTTAAAGGAGATCAGGTATCTCACTCAATTACATTAAAAATACATTTATAACTTTATTTAATCTTATTTTTTTCTAGATTGTTTTTTCTTCTTTGTCCATTAAGACGAACCTATTATGAAACTTCAAGACTGTTCTTTGGAAGAAAGAAAACATAAAAAGCACTAGTCTTAAGGCCTCCAGTTGTGCTGCTGTGTGATCATTTCACCCTTTTCGGTAAAGCTACCTTGCCAAAAGCGAGAATACTTAGTAAGAAGACAAATGGGAAAGGTCTTACTCACATTTTCTCCTGTCAGAGCTTTAACTCGTTCCTGAAGCGGATTTAAATTTTGGTCCTGGCCGTCCATCTTTTCTTCCCCTCCACTGTCAGCTGTTGCTTGTATCCACCAACAACGTCTCCATGACTCCACAACACAAACAAAACTCATGTGTGGAAACTCTTTCTTCAGATTTCACTTAATACCAATCGTGAATAAATGTGTATTATCACCACCACATGTCACAGTAAATGCATTCTGGTGCATATTTGACCTCTCTTAGCCTGCTAACCTGTTAGCATCTAAAGTTAGCTCGGTAAAACATAAAGTACAGGTAACAGTAACAGTTTTATAAGCGACTCCGCTGTTTCTATTTATCCTTTAGACTGTATTAATTCAGTCCCTTATCAAAGAACTACGGTACAATTTTATGGACAACGGCGCCCTCTTGAGCACACAGTTGGAATAGCTGCTCTTCTATAATACTTCAACAATCTAGCTTAACAACCCAACATAGGCATAAGCTCATTATATTACATCATAACTACTGACAGGGGGTTATGCTAACTCAGCTAAACATAACAATCTTATCTCTCATACACAAAAAGTGATCATGATAATTGAAAAAAAATAGAAGCACAGTCGAAGTTTCTGGTACACCTTGATACTTAAAAAAGTCTGAAAAGGTTAAAACTCCAGCAGCACTTGCAACACAAAAAACAGCTTTACACCTCAGTCAGTGTGCAGTGAGCTTTTTTGCATATCTAGCTAAAACAAAAACTATGATTTCCATCTCATTTTATTTTATGTTTTAATGGGAACTTTACAATGTATAAGAACAATGCAATTAATTCACAGTCTACGGTACTGCTAGACGTGGCCTTGTGTTATCAAAAATAGCTCCAAAAGGCTTTACAGAGATGAGTCAAGACACTGAGAAGATATTTACATTTAATACATCAGCTGAATATGAAAATAAATTGTACCAAATGTGTGTAAACCACAGTCAGACATGAGGAATAAATCAATCCCTGTAAAAACAGTCGTTCATAAAGCCACAGAGATAAATCTATAACATCATTCAGAGCCAAGTTTAGCTCAAAGGCGTTCTGCGTTCACAAAAGCTGCTGGAAAAAGGTTAAACATAGGATTTAAATTTAAGAATAAAACAGCTGCATTACATGATTTCCCTTTGCAGAGGATAGAGGTTCAATGTTCATGATATTCAGCATTTTGGAAAATGTTGCAACCTCAGCCAAGTTTGTCATATACATTAACTCCATATTACAGTTTCTTGTGTAGGTTTTTGATGTTTTGCAGCTCACACACACACGCTGACCAACTGCCCTGATGAGTTTTGAACATTTTAGTTTTCGTGTTTTCCACAGTACTCATTCAATATCTGATAGTCGAGTGCCTTTGAATGCAAACAGATGCTGTGCTCAGTCCACATAATGTGACTTTGGCAAGCCTCATATCTCCCATGTAAGTTGTTTTGGACAAAACTAACTCCACAGTTATTTCTGGTCTGAAAAAGTGCAGATATATTTGATATAGTTTCACTGGGTTAAAACATGTTTAAATCCTCCTCCACTTCGTCTTCCTCCTTTGAGATGTGTATGTTGTCACTGCGATCCATAGGTATACCAAGCTCTTTCTGCAGGGCCACTAGGCTGGCCTGGCTGATGTAGTAGCTAACATTCTGGGATGGCAACAGCTTTTGGAGCTGCTCCAGTTTACGATTGGCCTGGAAAAGAATTACAAAGGACACAAATAGAAAAAATTTAGAAAGTAGCACCAAGGATTTGGTTTTTTTAAATTGAGTTACATGATGAATCATTACAGCCCTACATTAATGTGATTAGTGTAATTTGACCTATTGAAAAATCTAGAAAAAGAAGACAGTCACCAATTGGAAGTTGCCTTGCTGACAGTGGTGCTCGATAAGGAAACCAAACACATCTCCAATCCTCACAGCAGGGTCCAGCTCTGGCTCCTCCAGCAGGGCTTCACACAGCTGCACCGCCTCGCTGGCGTCCTCGCTGTACAAACTGTAGACAAATGTGATGAGCTCAAAGCTTCGCAGACGGGTTGACCCGCGCAATAACGAAACATCCATCAAAAACGACCCGTTCTATGATGAAAACCAAAACTTACGGTAAAACTGAAATAATCAAAATGAGTTCATATTCGTACCTGCGTATGTGGACAAACTTCCTGATTAAGGCAATCTTGTGCTGCAGATCAGCCAGTCGCACTTCCTGTTGTCCGCTTGAAGCGTCCTTTGCTTTTGAGAGACACTTTGATGCCTCAGTCAGAGCATCCAGAGCCTTTTCATAGTTCTGGTAATCATCAATCTCCACCTTTTAAATTATAACAAAATAACTTTTTATTGAATCATCAAAATTTATCTATAAATTGTATTTTGCTTGATGTGCTCTGATACTGAGGCGGGCTTTTTAGTTTTTTTGTTCCAATTATATAATTCAATATAAACGTCAAAACAAACCGGCCAAATGAACTGATATTTTGCTCACCTGAGCACAAGCTTCATAGAAGCCAGCAAGCAGGTCCGGTGCCCTGCCTTTAGTGTAGAAACCAATAATTGTTTTTAAGATATCTGGATCTTTACGCCAGTCTAGAGATTGGAGATAGTTGGCGGCCAAGATGAAAAGCTCTTTCTGACGACTAACATTGGCAAAGAAAACAATTTTCTCTGTGTCGCCTGACTTCAGGAGCGCCCTCATTGCCTGTTAAGAAGAAACAAAATAATTTACGTTTTTAGAGTCACAATTATTTCGTTTCCAGTGTAACAGCATGACGCATACTTTTTTTTTCCCTCAAGGAGACACATTAGGTGTTGCATATGTATCAGACAAGATACGTCCTATGCACAGAATTCCTAATGAGTGTACAGCACATCTGATAATTACCTTGAGTTTGTTGCCAGCCTGTGTGTATTTCTTAGTGGCTAGATGGTAATTGCCCTGCCGCATGCAACAGTCAGCGATCCTCTCCAGCAGCTCCTTGCGGGCCTCTTCGGACATATCCTTCGAATCAGGTACAGTCATTCTCTCGGCCAAATCTTCTGTGATCGTTAGGTTCTGCGTCACGCACAGTTCCAGGGCTTCGTGGTACTGGGTACACAAATGTGGAGACACAAAAGCAGGAGTTAGCACATATGAATGGATTTACGAGCAAACAGGTGATGCTGTGTCGCAGTGGTACCTTCTTGGCTGCTACCAGTAACTCCACTGACTTCTCATACTTGGAATGTGTGCTGAAGAAGTCAGAGCAGCGAGCCAGGAGGGCTGGGTCTGAGCTCTCATTGAGATCCTCTGCGATCATCTCAAGAGCACCAAACTGCTGGGTGGCAAAGGCCAGCTCTAGAGCTCTGGACACATAGCCAGCCTATAAGAAAGAAATGAATAAATATAGCCACAGTTGAAAATCTACTTCACATTGCTTACTTTAAATGTATTTAACAATACCACCGCCCCCCCTTGTGGAATGATTTATAATGCATCAATCCATTCACTGGAAAGGAAAAAAAAAAAAACACAGACAGCTGTGATGCACCTTGTGGTAAAGCGCAACAGCACGATCCAAATGGGAGCCTTTCTCCTCGTAGTAACACGCAGCCTCCATCATGTCCTCTGGGTTACTGAGCAGGGCCAGGTTCATCAGCTGGTCATCCAGGCCGTTCTCCTGATCAGACAAACACAAGAAAACAACGATGGGGAAAAAGAAAGCAAACAAAAAAAAGAAAAAAGTCTTGCTTTATATATAGATATATATTTCTAACTGAGGCTGCTGAAAAACCCTTACTTTACAAAGTCGTATAGCATTATTGTAGGCCTGGGCTCGTGTGTAGAAGTGAACAGCTTGTTTAATATCATGTCCCTCATAATGCCTGGCCAGGTGGTAAGAAGCTGCTCTGTCCCCCGTATTGTTGGCTATCTCTGACGCCTAGGAAATTTCAAAAATGTTATCATATAAAAGAAGCATGTAAATTAGTCAGAATAACAATACCGTTTACAGTGGCTTACAGTGGTACAAGCCTATACATGTTTCCTAAGTACACAAGACACTATATACAAATCAGTAAACTCAACTCTTCAAGATCAAATTCTTTAAAATTATAAGTTTACAAACTGAGTCACCTTCTGAATGTCCCCCCTGTAGCAGAAGATTCGAACGAGGGAAAGATAATCCTGAGCACACTCGTAGAAATGTAGTGCAGAATCCAGGTCTGCCTGGCTCTCCAGGTACTGGGCCCACCACTTATAGATGCTCCTGAGTTATACAGATGGAAGGACTGGTGTTTAAAAGCATTTCAGATGTTTTTAACCATAAAGGGAGAGCCGAGACTTACTTGTCTTTCATTTTGTTAACATAAATCTCTAGAGATGACGTGTCGTCCTGGAGCATTCTGGGCACTTCAACTCTGTGTGTGTCTGATTTCTCATAGCTGTAACAAAAAGGATAACAATCAGTCACACTTTGTTCCTATTGTATAGTTGTTCCGACACACACGACTACATTACTGACCAAATAATAAATAAGCTTTTGTTTTCCTTACTAAGTGAGGGCCAGTGTCTTGTCGCCCATGGATTCCAGGTATTTGGCATAACTGTAGTACGTGGCGCGCAGGTGGATGCGATCGTGAACTTCAGCTGTCTCCAAAGCCTGCTGCCAATTACCAGAAGCCTGATAGAAATTGTTCAGCAGGTCATAGCGCTGACAGCTTTTGTACAAATTTTCTGCATCCTCCTGTTGGAAGACAGGAAAAGATGATGGAAAGATAAATGCTTTTGGCCCGGAAAGTCCCTTAGTCTGTGCGTGGTACAACTTAAAGGGAGGATGTGTTATTTGTTGCCAAAGCATGTGGCATTTCTGTGAGCTGGATCGCAGGTTTTTTGTTTTAAAAAAGGCTAAAATTATCTTCTAGAATGATTTTATAAACTCAAGTTCCTTTTTTTTAAAGTTACCTTGTCTTTTTAAATGAAATGTAATCTTTTCTCTTATGGAGTTTTCACATTAGGTTGCAACCTGAACCCAAATACAGAAGAATAACCCTTTTTGCAATTCTTTGTTATAGTCTGGGGCGAAAATAAAAAGATTCTTTAATATCTCACCAGCATGCCGAGCTGAATGGCCAACATCGCAACTTGGGTTTCTGGTTCAGGCTCAGCCTCCGCCTCCTTTAGTGCTTTTGCTGCCCTGGCATTTCCCATATTCCCAAGGCACACGCGTGCCACATCCAGCCGGCGGGTTTTCACACACATCCGTGCCATGTTTTCCCACACCGCTTTACTACAAGAGAAAGGAGAAATGGCTTGTTTGCAAGGATGATGTGTGTGTGGCTCACTGCCTTGGCATTTTATTATTCAACAGTAAGATCAGTTATACACACATACACAAATAAGTAAATATATACATAGAAAAAAATTAAAAGTTGGTAGGTATTTAATATTTTCCACTTATGTCTGGTTCCATTTAAGCTTATATTTGATAGTTAGACTGAACGCATGTGAATATGGGGACAAACCTGACTTAAGGCTTTAAATGCTTTTATGTCACTAGGGTAAGACTTTTAGTGGTGTAGCATCATTCCAATATCAATCATAACAATGATAATGAATGTCCATCAAACAATCCTGTTTACTGATAAAAGCATAACCTAGAAATTATTACATTTTAAGATGAAGAAGAGGATTTTAAACTCAAAGCAAAGGTCATTCTTTATCTTTCCTTTTCTTTTTTCCTTTTCTCTGACGTAAATCAAGTCTTTTACACACACCGCATCCCCCAGTTCAGTTTCAATTCCAAATATAAGATTCCACAGCCATCTGGTCTCTATTTCCATCCCCTCCCTCCTCCTTGCTTTAGCTGATACAGATGTGGGCTGTTTATTAAAGTTAGGCAACAGGAAATACCCCAAATCTTTAGGGGCCCTGCTATAAGAAGGGAGACAAAGTGAAAAAAAGCAATAGTAATAGGTGGCAGCCAAAGTCTTACTGTTTATGGTAATAGAAAACAAAACAGGGGAAGGGAAAAATCTGAGTTATTTAAAAAAGTTGAGTAGAAAATCATGTTCACAGCACTCTGAGTGGCCAGATTTAGAGAGCCAGAAAAGGAAAGACAAGAGAAGAAACAGGTCTACATTTGGCCTCTCTTCCCATCCTCTTTTCCTCTCAGGAAACACATCCTGTTGCTGGCCGACTGTGGCAGTCACTATGTTTGTTGTACATGAGAGTGCGGACTTTAGCAAACGCCCCCTGGTCTCCAGACAAAAGAATATACCGAACAGTGACGTCTAAGAGGGGGTCTTTTGGACATTCTGTCACACGAACACACTGGCACAAACACAGGCTCATATTTAAAGTGATCATGAAGGAGGGAGCTGTTTGTTCAGTGGTTGCTACAGCTGCTAAGTGATTCCTCGGATTATGATGAACTGCAACTCCCCTGCATTTCAACTCTGACCGCAAACATTTGCAGAGAAACCGTGTGTGCGCGAGTGAGCAACAGAGAAAAAGAGAGAGTGAGAGGGGGGAAAGATAGAAGGAGGCAAAAGGGGGTGGGCTAGAGGACTTCTTGTTCCAGGCAGGCAGCAGGGGCTCTTCACGTTGAGAGACAGTCTTGGGTAGTCAAAGCAAAGCCACCTACGAGTCAGCTCCTAGCAACGCTCTCCGAAGAATCTACTTTTGTCATCTGTACTTTTCTGGAAGAAATGTGGCATTGCTGAGAAGAAGAAAAGGAAAGTCGATCTACTGCACACCTAAATAAACCAACTGCAAACCCAGAAGTCTGAGAAGTGCATTAAACAGAGCACTGGAGGGTGGAAAAGCAGAAGATAAAAGTACAAGCAAGGACTGAGATCCAAGAGTCAAGCTGCAGTCAGCCGGAGCCAGTGGAATGGACCTAGGTGCCAGTTGGATCAATCCCGACGTACCCACACTGCTGTCTGAGGAGGAGGGCTGAGGATCTGCTGCAACGACAACCGACTCCTGAATGAGGATGAATGGAGATGTCCTTTAGCTAAGCCCTAAAACAAAACTTTTGCCAAATTCACCTCTGGGTGAGCTGGGACGACACTAGCTAATAGCTGAAAGAAGAAGAAGTAGAAGGTGGTGGTGGAGGAGGTGGAGAGTAGCCAGGGGGCCCAGAGCACTGCTAGTGCTCCTGGCCCAGAGGAGAGGCGAGGGAGCTGGCAGCCTACTGAGCTCGAACAGGACTCGGAGCAGGGGCACGACGGAGGGGGAGAGGTGGCAGGTGCCGGGCATCACATGGCCTTGCAGAGGCTGGTGGCAGCAGCGGTGGCCGTAGCCCTGCTGTCCCTGGTCCTAAATAATGTGGCAGCCGTCACACCCAGCTGGGTTCTGCAGGTTCTGGAGGATGGCCGAAAGCGCAGTGTGGGACTATGGAAGATGTGCCCCAACGGCGGGGAGAGGGGCCGTGACGACCTCCAGGCTGACAGAAGGGGGCAAGGCACACAGAAGCAATGTGAAACCATTGGTTGGGGCTCTGAGTATGCAGGCTACCAAGAATCCCGTAGTACTGTCAAATGTAAGTTTTAACTTTACTTTAGATTTTACATTCGACATCACAGCATGCTTATGTCTGCTTTAAAAAAAGTGTCTAACCTTTGTCTTGTTAAACTTGTTGACTGATAAATTGGTACATCCTTATAAATAAAAGAAATACACTTAATGCTGCAGATATTGCTGTACTGCAGAGTTTTATATAGTAGTCAGTTTTGTTCTTTTTCATATGAAAACACACCTCTGAAGAATTTCACTGTTGGGGTAAAACTGACATCCATGAATTAAATCCAAGTTCCTAACTCTCAAGTTTATGCAATGTATTCAACCATCCAAAAATCTGTAGCATGTACGCCATGAAACAGTTACATTTTTCAGTCAAAGTCAATGCTACAATGGATTTATGTGCTTCTAATAATAAGCTCCAAACTGTCATTCAAGAACAAGTCTGGGAAATGCTGAAAATCCATTGGCCAGCTTTACTGGTCACTGGGCAGCGCTGCCAACTAATGGCAGAAGTGACTTACCATTCATGAAAAAATAGTAATCGTGTCAATGCCCCTGTGCTGGAAGTGTATTTTATAACCCTGTTTCCAAAAAAACAAAAACAAAAAAACTGGAATATAGGTCACAAAAGAACAGAACCCTTCCCCCACAAAACTTCAAAAAACATAACATAACAAAGAAACCTCAACAATTTCAGAAAATCTCAGCCAATGTAGGAGTTTTATCCTTGCATGATTTCATCATCTGCGGTATAAACTGCCATAAGTAAAAGACTCAGATAATCTGGAGAAATCTACATACTTCTAAAATCAAAGTGAACACAGTTTTTGCATCCACAAATAAAAGTTCAAGCTCTACCACGCAAACATAAATTGAACATGAGCTGGTATTCATGTAGAGGTTTTACACTCTAACTGACCACTTAATGTATCTACTGGACTGTATGAATACATGAATGTCTTCAGGGAAATCTGTAGATGGATGTTTCAGGGGTTGTTGTGGCTCAGGAGGTAGAGCAGGTCATCTACTAATTGAAAGGTTGATGGTTCATAAGTATGGATGCTTTGTTATCCTTGACATGATCACAGTGTGAATGTGTGTGTAAATCTTAGATAGAAAGCAGTTAGATGAAGAAAAAGGTACTGTGTGAGTGGGTGAATGAGACATGCTGTACAAAGCACTTTTAGTGCTCAAATAGAGTAGAAAAGCACTATCTAAGAACAGGTTTATTTACCTTCAGATCAGGGAATGATCAGCTGTATCCCCTGAGTCACATCAACCAGTAAAACAAACACACAAAAAATATATTAATATGTATAAACAAGACTGAGAAACACAGCTGCCTTTTCTGGGAATGATCTTATATGAGATAGATAGAGTCATGGACAGTCTGTCCAGCAGGCTATAGACAAGATCCATCCAGCTCAGTTCCAAAGCATCTGTGATGGTATAGGGATGGAGTAGTACACAAGGCACTGGCAAAGTGCAGAATGTCTGAATACTTGCGTATGATGCCATCAGGGAAGCGTTTGCTTCTGGGAAGGTTTTGTCTTTTTCAGCAAGACAATGCCAAACCACATTCTGCACATAATTACAATTCTGCAAGTATAACAGCAGTTCTCCAGAGGAAAAGAGTCCTGAGCGTTCCTGCCTTCACACACACACATAAAAAAACTGAAACAAGACAAACCAGCTCTGAACCGCTGTAAAGCTGAAATCCTATATTTACTTTCAAAAGTAGATGAGTTATACTCCACAGTTCAAAAATCCTTCAGTGTTTCAGAAGAAAACGTGGCAGCCTCTGTGTTCTGTGTTGTTTTTGCACTAGATTTTATTTTATTTTTTAGAAACCGTGGGTACATTTTAAATAAATTAGTAAATTGGTTTTATGGTGCTTTCAAAAATTCAGACATATAATAAAACTATCCTTTAAAAACTATTATTGCCATTTAGTTTTTCATGTGTATATTTGACTCTTTTACATCACAGTGCCAGAAATATGACACAACTTTTTCTTCTTGTCCTTCAAGTGCAGTTTAACATGATGCGAGCATGTAACCTGATAGCGACAGTGGCCCTGACTGCAGGTCAGCTGATCTTCCTTCTAGGCCTGATGAAGTTGCCCTTCATCTCATACGAATCCCAGTGGTGGGAAGAAGCCATCGCTGCACTTTTCCAACTAACCAGTAAGTACCAGCATCCCCTCTTTTTAAGTGTTTTGCCATTTGCAAAGATTTAACCAAACCCAAAATTTACATATCCATGTATACAAATGCTACAGACCAAAGTTCACACGGTGTCTGGCCGAGTGCCATAAAATTGGGCTGTAATCACAGCTGGACCTGGACTGGGCAACTTTCCAATACTGAAGAAGATCAACTTCTAAGCCTCAAATGCTGCAGGAAGTTACTGTGAAAAACTTAAGACACTAGCAAATCTCATCCTTTAGGTCTACCTAAGAAAAAGTAAACCCTAATTTAAAAAAAATAATGCATCATAGACCATATTTTTACTAAATGTGGATACTCATCCATATTTAAATGAAAAATGGTCACAATAGCGGAAACAAAATCTGACTTGATAAGACTCTCCATCAATTCAGTCAAAATTTCTCAAACTTTACTTGTTTAAACCACAGACTTATTAAATCGAGAGGAAGATAGAACCTGTACTATCCTCAGGATTAACTGCAATTGGAATTAATTAGCATCTATCCATTGTCGATCCCTCCATCCATCTATCCATCCACCACTATTGACATTA